TTGTAAATTGAATTAATTAAAAAATTACTTTCAATGAGAATAAATTTTTGGCCCATTTGATTTTACCTAGTCACCTGTAACTACTCGTATGATTGCAGGTGGTCTCTGGGAGCAATTATGTATGAAATGCTTGTTGGCTACCCTCCTTTCTATTCTGATGATCCCATGACCACTTGCAGGAAGGTACATTCTTCATACGTAATGCTCAACAGTTTTTTTTTTTTTTTTTCATTCTTTTTTTTTTTTTTTTCATTCACTCAACTTTATATATTATATATACTTGAAGTAACTAAGCAGATATATGTAACTATTAATGGATATTCTTCAATGGTGGCTTTTCACTCAAACAGCCTAAGCACTATGTAGAGAACAAGATTCCTACGAAGTAATTTCCTCAATGTGCAAAATAATTACGGCTTGAGCAAATTTTACCTAATTAGTTTTTAACATAATGATTGCCAGATAGTTCATTGGAGAAATCACCTGAAATTTCCTGAAGATGCCAAACTGAGTCTTGAGGCAAAAGATCTCATTTGCCGTTTGCTTTGTGATGTTGAACATAGGCTTGGTACTGGTGGAGCTTTCCAGATAAAGGTCTCTTTGGATTTCAATTTCTCTCTCTTCCCTCTCTCTTTCCTTAATTCCCTCTCATATAGTGAATCCAAATGGATTACAGGCTCACCCTTGGTTTGCGGGTATAGAATGGGATAAACTGTATGAAATGGAAGCTGCCTTTAAACCAGAAGTTAATGGAGAGCTGGATACTCAGAACTTTATGAAATTTGACGAAGTACACCCTCATTTATTTTTTTATTTTTTATTTTATTTTTAAGTGCCGTTTTCATATGAAATTTGATGAAAATTTCATATTGGTTATACAACAGATGGATGCTCCAATACCAGCAACATCTGGATCAGGACCTTCGCGAAAGNGCTCTACATGCATTTTCTGTTTACTGGTTTTTCTGCAAGATAGCCGGTTTATGATCTTCCTTGATGTAAATGATTTACGTAATGTGCGCATGCGTGATGATGAATAAGGTAATTAATTCAGTTGACCCTCATCTTTTATCAAACAGATATATCTTAATCCAAAAGACTTGAGCTTTGTGGGGTATACATACAAGAACTTCGATGCTCTCAAGGCACTACGTTACTCGTCAGGCAAGGATTTGCATTATGTTTTACGAACAAATAAAACGATTCTTGGAGATTAATTTTTTTCCTAATAATAATAATGTGAAGCAAAATTCTCATATTTAAGTTTTTACTTTGCTGCAGATCATACGAGGAGCACATCTCCAAGCCGCCCATCCATCAATTCCATATTTGGTAAAGCACACGATTTAAAGATACCGAATTTTGGTAAAAATTTACTGACTTTTGAAGATATGATCTAATGTGATAAAGTTTGATTGATAGGCGAGTCGGTAGGAGCTCATAAAGGGAGAGCAACAAGCAATGGAACAGATGTACAAATGACGACGTCATTTGATGATGTCATGTCCCCATAGAAAGTAATAAAGTGCAAAGGGTTCGGCAAATTAGGAAAATCTGGTCTCGCTTGATTGTACAGTATGATAGCGGGAGCCAAAAGATGGGTTGAAGTTTTTTTTAGTATAAACATCTTTTTTAAGTTTGTTTAACTTGCAGTTAAGAGTAAAAATAGTGCAAGATGATGGAACCTGGCTGCCCAGGTTGGCAAGGGAACTTGCTTTCTCTTGTGGCTGTGTTCTTTGTGGTCAGATATTTTATGGATGACTACTTTATGCAGTGCAGACACTCGTCGAATTAGATGAAAACGAAAACTTGGGATTATGTTTCAT